CCCAGCGCTCCAGTCCTCCTTGGACTGAGGCGGCTCCGGGAGGTCTACGCCTGGGCTCACCACCGCCCTGGCACCTTGTTTAGAGTCTTTGCCGTGGCTGGGCCCTGCACATAGGGCTCCCCACCCTCTCTCTGCACCCTGAGGTGGTCCAGTCCAAGGTGCCCTGGGGAGGGGATGCTGTAAAGAATCATCTAAACGAAGCCCTGTCACCTGCTGGCACTTGTAACCTGGTGGCCAAGTGCCAGGGGGAGCATCTCCCTTGCTGACTTCTCAGGAATGGAGGCCACAGGCTTGGGACACCAGGAGTTCTGTTTGGCAGGAGATGGTGGGACACTGTGCTTACTTGCAGGGCAGGTCTGCAAGTTCTGGGCAGATTCCTTCTCACACGCCTCATCCTCCCATCCAGCCGGCTCCATCCATAGAATGAGGAGGTGGCTGGCCTAGAGCATCACGCTCTAAAACAACTAGCCCTTGATGAGTCACTCAGCTTTTGCTTTCCAGCTCTCCGGGGGGTTACCGCTGCCTTTGGTGAGGCCGGCTGTGGCCGGGGCAACCCTTTGCGAGCAGACTGCCCTGCACGGCAGCCTAGCCGCCTCCACGGCACTGCCTGGGGCTTTGCTGAGTGTCCGTGCGGTCAGGCCAGTTGCAGGAAACCCAGAATGCACTGGAAATACCTGCCTGAAACCTTTTAGAGGTCTTCTCTTCATCTGAAAGCAATGGGTTAACGTTAGGGATGAGGTTTGCTATTTCTGGTTGCTGCCACTGGGGCACTGGGTTCTGACTAACATGACATCTCTGTACCTCGTTTGGGATGGAGACTGTAATTTCGATGTTTTGACGTGAAATTCCAATAAAGCTAAGTGCTTGAAACCCTTTAATCCTAAAATAGAGGCCAAGAGAGAGACCTGAACCTCTTCTCTTGACTTCTTTCCCATCTCCTCCCCCACCTCGGGTCCCGCCCCAGGCAAGCCAGGGGGTGACAGCCAGGCACGTGGGAAGCCGGGAAGCCGAGGCGAGGGCTCAGGTCCTGTGCGGGGTAGGGGGGCATCTCCATTTGTGGAGTCCTTTGTTCTCCGGGGAGAGGACAGTTGCTTGGCAATTAACCCCTTAACTCGCTCAGGGAACAAGATCTCCTATTCTCACCCCGGTTT